AAAAAAAAAAAAAAAAAACATTTATGTACCTCAAAATGGTGTGATCGTCAATTTTGATGATAAGAGTACGTACGTAGTATTTATCTATCTACTCCTCAAAATAGTGTGATCGTCAATTTTGTATATATGTACTGATTTTCTGATATACATCTTATCTTAATCTGATCTGAATATATAAAAGTAGGCACTAAACTGGAAAAGGAAAGATTCAATAGCAGCACGCAATTAAATAAATGTAAGCTTATTAATAATTACTAATGCATTACCCGTGCGGAACAATTTTATTAATGTAAACATTTAAATTTGAATGATTAGATAATTATACTGGATTAAACAAAATATAACTTATATATTATTAAACGTATTCTTGTACGCAACATTATTTTTTGGTCTTTTGGTACATCGTCTATCACCCTAAATTATATTATGATTCGAGATAAGCTTAAATAAAACAATTAATTATTTAGCAGGATATATACATGATATTTTATAGGTGTATGAAATCATTATTTTTTTGCAAGTGTACGCAATTCATTTTAAATTTATATTCTAAAGGATAAAAAAAGACTCAAAATTTTAGGATGTTCCAATCCGATTTCATGTTGAATTCCAAATTAATATTATCTGACTTTATTTTATGTTTTAAAAATTTTCGAACTAAACAAAGTAATAGCCAAATGATAAGGGAATTTTAAGTTTTAATTTCTCATTTGAAATTGGGCTTGATTTCTATGCAATCCAATTTTTTTTTTAATAAACATGATCTGTTGCAATTAGGTAAACGTACATGTTATAGTATTTTACCTAATTCAAAATTTCTGATTTTATGGTAAACATTTTTTTTAATAAAAAATGAGAGAGTTTTCACTTTTACAAAATTGTCTTGTGGAATTTTACATAATTTAACTCGATTTCTATGCAATCCGATTTCCTTTAATAAAAAATTAATTTGTTGCAATTATTAAAAGATATATGTGATAGTATTTTTCCTAATTCAAAATTCCTGATTTTATGGTAATAATTTTTTTAAATAGAAAATGAGAAAAAAGTTTGACTTTTGCAAAATTGTAAGCATAAGTCAAAATTTACCTAAATTAAATCCAAAAAACCTACTCCCTCCGTTTCAAATTATAAGTCGCTTTGACTTTTTCGGTACATCCACTTTGCTATGTATCTAGATAATAATATGTCTAGATACATAGCAAAATGAATGTATCAAAAAAGTCAAAACGACTTATAATTTGAAACGGATGGAGTATAAATTTAGAGTGCATATATAACTGATTGATTTTTTAGGAATAATTAAAAAATAAATAAAAATTGCAAAAAATATAATGCAATAAATGCTGATTGACTTTTGTTGTTACTATTTTTGGTAAATATGTTGTGTCTTTGTATATACTAGTACGTACCATGTGCGATGCACGAGACATAGATATTAAATTAGCTATTTTCACAGATTATGTCCGTTTAAGCATAGATTTTTAAATCCGGGCAGGTCTCCGGGTCATCGGTTCAACCGTCGGGTAACCGGGTCAGTTGCTGAACCGGATAATTAATTTTAAATTGTTTTAAATAATATATAGAGTATTTTGTCATATAAATTTATATAAACTAAAAAATTAAAAGTTTCGTATATACAATTTGTACATTAAAGTGTGAATAATATGTATTTCATGAGAATATTATACATATTTTTATTTTTTAAAAACAAAAATTATTTTAAAAAATGAAAAAAAAAAATATAGAGACCGGGTCAATGCCCTGGGTCGATAGGGTCAAGGCCGGGTTGGCCGGGTCCTTTGTTGCCTGGTCCGAATAGTCCACCCGGTCTGGGTTGAAAAACACTGCGTTTAAGTCTAAAAAGCAATAGGTTATCATCTATTTTCTATCTTTTTTAATCAACATTAAGTCGAATAAAAAATAAGGTTATAATATATTTTTCACTTTTAATCAACATTGTTTTTTTTTTGTCTGAACATTAAATATGAGCATGTTAGGGCTAACTTAAAAAATTATTAATGTATTATCTCACTAACACATTTATACTAATATAAAATTGATTTTACTATATATATTTATTCCTTGATATAAGAGAAAATAAAAGTTTTACTTATTTTGTTTACCATATAATACTTAATATTATTATTTATTATAAACTTTGTTGTCATATAATATCATTATTATTTATACTATATGAGTTGTACGTCTTCTTTCTTCTTTTTCTTTTTATTAGAACTTAAATTATATTGTAATATTTATCTTGACCAAAATATTATCAACATGAATCACGAAAATTCAATTTTGTAATCTATTATAATGAACATCAATGAAATTATTGTTGATATTATTAATATTATTTAAGGAACAATATTTTTTGATCATATATGATTTGATCTTATATCAAATCGTGTATATATATATATATATATATATATATATATATATATATATAAGCTATTAATGAATATATTTAAAAAAATCAAAAAAAGGTATGCAATAAATGTTTTCAAAAAATTTGATTACTATTTTTAGTAAATGGTAATTCTTATTATATATATGTATAGATTCATTATTTTAGGGGATTGTATGTGATAAATCTAAATTTGTATAATTCACGTTTTTTTATATATTTTGCTTATTAAATTAGAAATATAATTTTATTATAAAATAATAGCCGACATTCAAAACAATAGTATTAGCCGATTTGATGTTAAAAAAGTTTCTGATTTTTTGAGCAATCAAAACATAACTGCTAGATTTAGTGGTTAAAAAAATTCAAAATAAATAATATTTTTTTTATATTTTGATTATTAAATAAGTTGTAATTTATTTTTATTAAAAAATAAAAATCCGACATCTAAAATAACTGGATTAGTCAATTTGATGTTAAAAAATTTTTCCATTTTTTGAGCAATCAAAATAACTGGCAGATGTAATGGGTTAGAAAAATAAAATAAAAAAAAAAATTATTTATATTTTTTATATGAAATTAGTCGTATGTTAGTTTTATTATAAACTAAAGCCGATATTTAAATCAATTGTATTAGCCGATTTGATGTTAAAAAAGTTTGCGATTTTTCAAAATACTAAAGTAATTTTTTATTATTAAATTAGTCATAAATTCTTTCTTAAAAAATAAAAAAAATAAAAATAAAAAACTACAATTGTGATACATGATTTTCCTTTAAAAAATTTTTTGTTGATTTTCTGGAAGTTTAAAAGTAACAACCCCAATCTTATCCATAAAAAATAACAAACAACACTTTTTTAGGCCAACATTAATGAGGGCCCGTTTGGAAGTTAAAAAAAAAAAACTTTCTATTAATAGCATGTAATTAATGCTGTCTGTATTTGACCAAAATTTAACTTGCCATTTTTTAAAAATGGTAATTCTTTATATATATATATATATATAGATAAGGATTTTGCTAATTATGCAACTATTCTTTTTATTAATATGCATATTTCATGTCCACATGAGTTATATTTACGGTAGACGTACCCCAAACACAAACACTCATTTTTAAATTTATACTTATATTAAAAGCTATACTATTTAGTAAATGTAATATGTATAATAGTCAACTCTAATTAATGATTTGCTATTTTTATCAAGCATTTAATTAATGCATCTAATATTTTTGGTATGTAAATCAAATTAGCATTTAATTAGTTCCTAAAATATTGGGTATGTAATATTAATTTATGAATATCCATGTAGTTCCTAAAATGTTGGTATGCAATACGTAAAATAAGATTTTTTTAATTTTTTTTAAATATAAAATATTGGAACACGTAAAACTATTCTAGTTGATTTTTATTTTATTTTACATATAAAATCTAATCAATATTTAATGCATCCTACAAAATTGGATTTAGTTTAATTATCCATACAATTGGTTGTAACTTTTTCAGTTGTACTTTTTTTATTTTATTTATTTTATACTTTTAAATTAATGAAGCTCTCCCGAAAATACCAAATCAAATAGTTTATGAAAGTTTTTTTTTTTTACAATTTTAAATCTATATAACCAGCTTAAAAAACTCATCGCATATGACGAGTTTAAGAAAATTTCATAACCCAGCTTATAAAATTCCATCTTCACGAGTCAAAAAATCACATCCCTCATCTATCGTAACAACTTTAAAGGTAAATAAATAAAAGTCTAATTACTACTATAAATCCATTATCTATGATTTTTTAAAAATCTAAATTTCACCTGTCTAATTACTAATATTTTAGATACTTTTAAATATTATTTGTATAAATTTTTTTACACATTTGCTCTCTCTCTCTATATATATACATATATGGAGGTTAAATGAAGAATTTTTAGACATATTTTCCTTATGGGTAGTTTAGAAAAATTTAGGTAGGTTCAAACATTAGTTGTGAATAATATAAAATATTTTAGATGCTTTTATAGATGTTATAAAATATTTTAAGTATTTTTAATATTTATATATCACACTTAAAAAGAATAATTTACCAAAATAAAAATATTAACTACACATTGTAAATGTTAATAGAAACATTTTTCAGTGTTCATCTTTGATTTTGTCAAAACAAATCTCATAAAATCGGTGAAGTCAAAATTTGTACGTAAAGTCTATCTATACTAAAAAAAGGTAGAATCAAAATTGTTTATCTAATTTCTTCTTTTCCTTATCTAATTCCTTCTTATTATCTAATTATATAGAAATCTGTTCTGATTTTGTTCAATCCTCTAATTATATTTGTTTTATATCTCATCAAATCGGTTTAACAAAAAAAATCTCATAACATCCGATAAGTAAAAAAAAGTACGTAAAACCCTTACTAAATAAAAAAGGCTTTATTTATTATCTAATTTATTATCTAATTGTATGGAAATCTGTTCTGATTTTATAGTACGTACTACAAATTGTGCACCCGTGTTCAGGAGCTACTTAACGGGCAAGCTCTCTGGAAATAACTCATTTAGTACTTCTATCCCGTGCATACGGTATGTATTTGTATTACACATACTAGAAAATTGTGCACCCTGTGCATCGCACGGACTCTGTACTAATAAATGACCTTAAAATTGTGCACCCCGTGCATCACCCGTGTTCACATTTTGGCCTATTACAGGTCACGTACTATATATATCCCGTACATTTTTCTTTATTCATTTATATAATTATAAGACTTGATAAATGACCTTAATTTTGTGCACCCCGTGCATCGCACGGGATCTGTACTAGTGTTAAAGTAAATGAAATTCCAGATTATTAATCTATACTTATGCAAATTTAGTAGGTTGAAAAGTCAACGTAATTAATGCATTGCTATTTCTATTCAGAATTTTATATAATTATTTTATTTGTCTTATATCCCATAAAATTGGTTCAAGAAAAAAAAAATCCCGTAACATCTTTACTAAAAAAAATAATTTTATATAATTCTTTTATTTATTTATATATTGTTATTTATTTTATTTTATTTTTTATTAAAGAAAGTACCAAAAATATTTACGCCAAAATATCGATTCAGTCAAAGACAAATCCCATAAAATCAGTGAAGTCAAAAATTGTACGTAAAGTCTATATCTATACTAAAAAAAAGGCACATTCAAAATTCCTTATCTAAGTCCTTCTTATTATCTAATTTTATGAAAATCTGTTCTGATTTTGTTCAATCATTTAATTGTATTTATCTTATATCCCATAAAATCGGTTTAAGAAAAATAAATCTCATAACATTCGATAAGTCAAAAAAAAAAGTACGTAAAATATTTACTAAAATAAAAAAAGGTTTTATTTATTATCTAATTGTTTGAAAATCTGTATTGATTTTGTTCAAACCGATTTCTGTATATTCAGATTTTTTTCATAAAAATATTAACAGCAATATATATCTACTCTACCCATTATATATTACAAATCTCACAATATCGAGCTATTATCTTCCTCATTGTCAACATAATGCGAATAAAAAAAATGTCCCGAATCAGACTTCATTGAGAAGAGAAGCGCATCGTGCAAGAAAATAGATATGCCTTTTAATTAAACTAATGGCATCCCTTTTCTTGCTTACTTCGCTAGCAAGGTATTACCGATTGTCATCAGACAGAGGATAGGCCGAAGCTCCACGTTGGCCTCTATGGTAGAATCAGTCGGGGGCATGAGTTTCTGCTTCCTTTCCTAAGAAAATATTCTAAAAAAGAATCAGATCTTTCGAGTAGTTTTTTTCTTCGGGAAATTGCCCGAAGCTTATGTTTTTTTTAATCTAATCGTAGATGTTTTCCCAAGCGCCTTGGTAAAGATGTCAGCCAGTTGTGCGCCAGAGGGAACA